CTCACTGGGTCAGGTTCTGGTCTCGCTTACTGGGTCGGGGGCTGGTCTCCCTCACTGGGTCAGGGACTGGCCTAACTCACTGGGTCAGGGGCTGGTCTACCTCACTCAGGGGCTGGCCTTGCTCACTGGGTCAGGTTCCAGTCTCCCTCACTGGGTCAGGTTCTGGTCTCGCTCACTGGGTCAGGGGCTGGCCTCGCTCACTGGGTCAGGTTCTGGTCTCACTCACTGTGTCTCAGACTGCTTCTCCGTGAAGACTCTGAGCACAAAGTCAGCCTCCTTGCTGGGCTCGAAAGTGGAGGGCACGATGAGGTACTCCCCCGGGGGCAGGCGCAGGCGGGAGCTGACCTCGCGCAGGTTGATGAAGGTCTCGGAGCGAGCGCAGGACTGGTGCCTCAGGAAGAAGTCCTTCTTAAGGTGCACGTTCTGGCAGCCCTTGTACTGTAGAGGCCATGAGAGGCAGCACTGAGCTGAGTGTGCATTGGGAGGCCATGAGAGGCAGAGCTGAGCTGAGTCTGTGTGCTGGGAGGCCGTGAGAGGCAGCACTGAGCTGAGTCTGTGTGCTGGGAGCACATATGACTTTAGGATGCCATCATGGTGTGGAGTATTAAGATACACAAATCTATGTATGTACTAATCCTCACACTGAAGTAGTTGTTTCTGTGCTCTATAATTGCATCTCTGATAAAAAAAAACCCAGAAGACAAAATTTCCTTCACATCTTCTGTCACCTACATATGTCTGTGGACGGGCACTGTGCTTGAATTTCAATTAAAATGGAAGACTTCAAAGGTGATATTTGATTCTGGCTTGACTCTTGACCCCCATGTTCAAACTACTGTAAATACACAATTCTTCCATCTTAGAAATATTGTCAAACTGTGTCTTATGTTGTAGGAGAAATGCTAGTCAACACTTTCGTCTTCTCTAGAATTGATAACTGCAACATCCTGCTGGCTGGGGTATTTAAATCCACACTGATCAAATTCCAATATGTTCAGAATTTGACCAGGTCTAATCCAAGAGATCACATTACTCCTGTCCTGGCCTCCATATATTGGCTTCCCATCAGGTTTCATGTAAATTCCAAAATCCTCATGCTCACCTATAAGGTTCTGCATGGCTTCACACCTCAGTACCTGTCCGATTTATTATCTTCCTACACCCCTCCTCTCAACTTTCGTTCAGCTGATTCTGGTCCTGTTTGTCCCCCAAGCTCATCTACAGTCTAGGGGTGACAGGGGCTTCTCCTGCTGCACCCCAAAGCTCTGCAATTCTATCCCCAAGGACATCAGAGTCACCTACCCTGAGTGCATTTAAATTTAGACTCAAAACCTTTCTTTTTAGAAAGGCTTTTATTCAACTAGTGTCTGTGACTGTTCCAATTTCTAGATGTATTGTCTGCCGTATATTAGTGCTTATTTTATAGTTTTCTATTCTTATAACTGTTTTTACACCTACTGCAAAGTGCTTTGAGATGCTACTTTTAAAGGTGCTTTATAAAATAACGTTTTTTATCATTATATTAGTGTCAGATTTCCATTTGCCACAGAAAGTATCTTTTTACTCAGTTCTGAGTGAGTCTGTGCCTTTCCTTTATGACAAGTCAGTAAGAGAATACATGTGCTGTGCTCATCTGTGTCATGTACAGTTTGACACTGTTCTTTGTGTCTTTGCTAGTAGTGTAAACATGCACATAATAATCTGTAGAGACTGAATAAAGTCATGAGCTTCACATAGCAGGTTATAGTGTTCTGGGTCTCTGTCACACCACACTGTGCACCTAAAAGATCATTATAATGTACTTTGCAGGTTACTTTGTATCTACTAATAAGAAAACAGGAACTTTTCAGTCAATCCTAAAAATCTGTAAAAAGACCATAGAGACATGACAGGGGAGTACCTCTTCTGGAACCTGTGAAAACACAAGAACAAAAATAACAAAGTTAGTAAGCAACGTATTGTACACATGAACTGAAAAAGAATTATGGGTATTCCTCAAGGCTGAACTGCAGGTAACTGCAGGTAAAGCTCTATGATCGCAGGTTCGAGTCTGGGTAACGTCACTGTGACTGGGATTCCACAGGTAGCAGCACACAATTAGCTGAGGAGTACCACCACCCTTACAGCACCCCCTGTAGACTCCCAGGCTCTTACAGGCAGGTGGTGCTGTTGATGAGGGACATGTCTCTCCTCCAATCAGCAGTGAAACTGTGGTACAGGGCGGTGTAGGTCAGAGGAACTTGTCTACACTTCCTGTGTCTCCCTGTGTGTAGTGTGCAAGCCGAGGTGTGAAAAACATGACTGGCTCTTCCAAAGTGGGTAAATACAGTGGTGTGAAAAAGTGTTTGCCCCCTTCCTGATTTCTTATTTTTTTGCATGTTTGTCACACTGAAATGTTTCAGATCATCAAAAAAATTGAAATATTAGACACAGATAACACAAGTAAACACAAAATGCAGCTTTTAAATGAAGGTTTTTATTATTAAGGGAAAAAAAAATCCAAACCTACATGGCCCTGTGTGAAAAAGTGATTGCCCCCCCTGTTAAAACATAAATCAACTGTGGTTTATCACATCTTTGGAAAGCTGAGTTCATTTTCTCTAGCCACACCCAGGCCTGATTACTGCCACACCTGTTCTCAATCAAGAAATCACTTAAATAGGACCTGCCTGACAAAGTGAAGTAGACCAAAAGATCCTCAAAAGCTAGACATCATGCTGCGATCCAAACAAATTTAGGAACAAATGAGAAACAGAGTAATTGAGATTTATCAGTCTGGAAAAGGTTATAAAGCCATTTCTAAAGCTTTGGGACTCCAGTGAACCACAGTGAGAGCCATTATCCACAAATGGCGAAAACACGGAACAGTGGTGAACCTTCCCAGGAGTAGCTGGCTGACCAAAATTACCCCAGGAGCGCAGCGACGACTCATCCAAGAGGTCACAAAGAAACCCACAACAACATCCAAAGAACTGCAGGCTTCACTTGCCTCAGTTAAGGTCAGTGTTCATGACTCCACCATAAGAAAGAGACTGGGCAAAAATGGTCTGCATGGCAGAGTTCCAAGACGAAAACCACTGCTGAGCAAAAAGAACATAAAGGCTCGTCTCAGTTTTGCCAGAAAACATCTTGATGATCCCCAAGACTTTTGGGGAAAATACTCTGTGGACTGACGAGACAGAAGTTTAACTTTTTGGAAGGTGTGTGTCCCATTACATCTGGTGTAAAAGTAACACAGCATTTCAGAAAAGGAACATCATACAAACAGTAAAATATGGTGGTGGTAGTGTGATGGTCTGGGGCTGTTTTGCTGCTTCAGGACCTGGAAGACTTGCTGTGGTAAATGGAACCATGAATTCTGCTGTCTACCAAAAAATCCTGAAGGAGAATGTCCAGCCATCTGTTCGTGACCTCAAGCTGAAGTGCACTTGGGTTCTGCAGCAGGACAATGATCCAAAACACACCAGCAAGTCCACCTCTGAATTGCTTAAGAAAAACAAAATGAAGACTTTGGAGTGGCCTAGTCAAAGTCCTGACCTGAATCCAATTGAGATGTTGTGGCATGACCTTAACAAAGCGTTAAGGCTCGAAAACCCTCCAATGTGGCTGAATTACAACAATTCTGCAAAGATGAGTGGGCCAAAATTCCTCCACAGCACTGTAAAAGACTCATTGCCAGTTATCGCAAACACTTGATTGCAGTTGTTGCTGCTAAGGGTGGCCCAACCAGTTATTAGGTTTAGGGGGCAATCACTTTTTCACACAGGGCCATGTAGGTTTGGATTTTTTTTCCCCTTAATAATAAAAACCTTCATTTAAAAACTGCATTTTGTGTTTACTTGTGTTATCTTTGTCTAATATTTCAATTTGTTTGATGATCTGAAACATTTCAGTGTGACAAACATGCAAAACGATAAGAAATCAGGAAGGGGGCAAACAGTTTTTCACACCACTGTATAACAAACATTGCCAATACAATGGCAGTTTTATAAATGATATTGTATATCTGATGATTACACATGCCCTTGTATTCTTATAGATATTTTCCACAGCTCCAGAATCAAAGGAAGGACAGATGCAGTGACAGATACTCTTGCTAACTCAGTGTCCCAAATCCACAGGAATTTATCTAGCTGTGCAATGCTACCTGGGTAATCCCAGTCAGGTCAAGACAGAGGCCCGATTCAAATAGTTCATGTCTGCAGTACAGGCCATGTCACTTGTCACTGGGATGCTCCTGAATCTTTTAGATTCTCCCAAGAAGGTGGCCAGAGGGCGCTCCAGAGCCACCTCACCTCGTAGATGGCGAAGCCGATGGTGTGCATGTCCTGGCCTTGTTTCCTGTACAGCCGCCTGTCCTTCTGAATCAGAGCCACCAGAAAACTGCAGGCCATTTCGTCATCCTCGGGGTCATCGTCCTCCTCCAGCAGAGTGATCTTGTATTGGGGGTTGATCCAGAAGGTGTCTGAGGGACACAGAGGAGAACATTTTACCAAGCAAGGGATAGAATAATACACCATGAACTCATTCAGACTTGCAAAACTCTTGCCTTTGGACCCATCTAAGGAGTTACAATCCAACCTTGGCTGCATGAGTTACATTTCAAAGAGACAAAAAGCTACTCTGAAGGCACTGTACATGACGCCGCGCACGGTCACACTTCCCAGAGCTGCTGCAGTGTTTTAGATTTAATATTTTTATTTAATCTTATGTAATACTTTAGCTCAGGTGATTAGAAGAGCCTTAGAAGAGGAAATAAATGGTACTTTACAAGAAGAGCTGTAAGTTTTCAGAACAAATGACCTAATCTTATTGTATACGCTGTTTCACCAAGATCTTTCAAAATGCGTCTAATTGGGTCCATCTTATTGGCTAATAGCAACCAAACGAGTCAGATGTGCTGCCAACTCCTCCTGTCTGTCAGTTTAATTAAGGTCTTCTTGTGGAAAGCTGTGGGAGACAGAGAGCGCTCCTCACTGGGGTGGTTCCTGCAGCCCCCCGCAGTGCTGCCCCGCCTCCAGCTGCCTTCAAACTTGATGGTGTTCCAGAAGCTGAGAGCGTCCTCGCTCAGGGCGTCGGGCGTGAGGTTGCAGATCTCCAGGCGGGAGAACTGGCGCAGGAACTCCTGGAATGCCATCCTGTGGAGAGCAGAGCCTGAGGACTCTCAGAAACACAGATACGCAAGCTGTTCCTGGCTGCTTGCTTTCCTCTACTAGTACCAACAGTCCAGGACCAATTTTATAGCTGTGCTCTGGAGGTAGACTCTAAAGTGTCTCACGGAGAGCAAGCTGGGGTATGAGTAAAACAAATTCCTAATGCAAGAAAGTTTATATGGCTAATAATGTGATCTTAACGAGATCAGTTCAATTTAAGGACTGCATAAGACAGAGACATTCAGGACACATTCCTGGTTTCAGCCACAGGCCTACAATCCTAATGGCACATTTCACACATACTTACCAAAACTCACCATCTTCCATTTTTAAATGCATATCATCTCTCTCAGAGGGGTCGATTTCATTCCACTCTGAAGAACTGAGGAGAGGAAAAGCAGATTGGTAACAGAAAAGTATCTGTCTGACCTTATAACCCAACCTTGGCTGCACTGACAAACACCAGTTTTTCTCCAATGTCTACATTCACAGTGCATAAGAAGGAGCCTCCAATCTGCACAATTATATAGTGTTAACTGGTATATTCTATAAGGATTTGAATTCAATTGTTAAGCATTTTGGCAACATGGACAACTTCTGGGCAGGCAATCCCCGGAATACGCAGGCTAAACTAAGAGCAGTTAAAACTGAATAGTTAACAACACCCCGTCTGTGAGCTGTCTTCTTACTGACAGTGTAGAACTAACAATATTAACAACAGTGAGGCTGCAACGAGCACTCTGCTTGCCTGGGATGGGAGTCAGGAAGGCTGGATGATATCAGATAACATGCAGGTAGGTCAAAGGTCAGACTCACTTGTCGCTCCAGGCTCCAGTCCACTCCACCTGACCCCATGGGTTCCGGATCCGGATCAGCCTCTCACTGCGACCTCGGTAGTCTACCTGCCGCAGAGAAAGAGAGCAGTGGAGATGACTGACAGCTGAGGTCAACACCTGCACACCTGGAGCCCAGGGCATCAGAAACAGGAAGTTCACAAAATCGAAACAAACTCCATCTACAACTGGAATGAGCTGGCTGAGAAACAGGCATGTATAGGAGGATACATAAGTATCCGTAGGAGGAGGATTTTAACATTATTCACATGTAAATGATAAGAAAAGCTGTGGGAGGATATGAAAGCGCCCAGCAAACAGGTGTAGAGAGAGAAGTGCAGGGGACCTATGACAAGACCTCGGAGGGACAACAGCAGACAGAGTGAAGAGCTGGTACTGTATATGCGAGCAGTCATGCGGGAGGAGAACCAGGTGCAAGCAGTGCTTAAAAGTATCAGTAAGTGTGGTCAGGGAAGAAGAGCAACTGACTAATGTAATAAGATGTATGAGTGATTATACAGCAGACATTTCACTGCAGAAAGTTTCCAACGTGATCTGCATGTAGAGTTAACAAGTACCATTTATCTGCAAAACTCTCTCAAAATAATTTAAAGAGATGTTCACAAACCTGCTTGTTTACAATGTAATAAGGCCGCATCACATCACCAGATGTTTTGTTGCCTCGTTCTGAATTGCAGAATATGTCACTGTGCATACCTGGAAATGTTGTCTATTTTGTGATGTAAATTGGAGGTTTGAGGCTTGAAATGTATTCATCAATGCCGATTCTTTTTAACCCAAAAATATAAAAATAGTGTTCCTGTTCCCCTTAAAGTCATGAAATGTCTAAGTTAGGTATGGACACACCATTGTTTCTTACTTTTGATTTTCTTTTAAATAAATAAAAAATCAGGCACCTAGTAAGGAGATCCGATCGAATCAGCAAGGACAGAACAGCTATAGGAAACTATTGAGAAGGAAACTGGGGGCAACAGTGGAGAAGAGGTGAGCAGGGAGAGGTGAATACAAGTGTAAGGTTAGACAGCAAGCGGGAGCCATCAGGAGGCACAGAGGGCTGAGAAGAAGGAGAAGAGAGATCCAGTGGTGAAGGAGGCAGGGAATGGGTAGGTGAGGCAGGAGGTGAAGTACTGAAGAGCTTGTGGATGTCAGAGATTTTGGAGGAGAAGGAGGAGGTAAAGGCGTCAGATCAGATAAAGCAAGGGGTGGAGAGCTGAGTTTAGTGGAGCAGAGTTTGCAGGGATTGCTGGTAGAAGACTGGGAAAGATGTGCAGAAGAGCAGGATGAGAGAAGAGACAGAAGCCTGGGGGGGCGGCTGGGCTCACTCACCTCTCTCAGCCCCGTCACAGAGTAAGCGTGACCCTTCACCAGCTTTTTGAATGTCACTGCCTCCATGTCAAAGGCACTGGTGATCTGCAATGTGAAAAGAATCATAACAAAAGCAATAATAACTTAGATAATAATAATGCATGTGCCCTTAGTGGGCAATATTCCTAGTGAGATCTGTACTGATTATGTAATTAAAACTAAATCAAATCCCCACAGCAGTCCGGACAGCCTCCACTCATCACTACATTCTGATGTTGTGCTCCAGGTTAAAGGGCACAGGAACAATTAACAATAGTACAGGCAGTGTGTCTTACTCACGTCAATGGAGCAGCCCAGCAGGGAGCCCCTCTCCAGGGCTTTACTGATGATCCTATAGAGGTCTCTGGGGGCCTTGCGCAGCTCGTACATCTCCGACACGCCCCCGGTAAAGTCCTCAAAGCCCTCAGTGGTGCTGCCTCCTGACAGAGCCTCATAAGAGCCGTTCAGCCTGCAATCACACACCATACATAGCTGGGCCCCAGCACCGAGGGGCTGCTGCACAGGCAAGAAAACGACCCCCCAGGATTTCCTGGTCTCCCCCAGCCTGCCGCAGTTCAATACAGACAGAGGATCGCCAGGCCTTTCTTAGACCAGTCTAACACTCTTCCTCTGGATAATGAGGTAGAGAAACACACTCTTCAGGACCAACACTAGCAACTGTGATTTGTATTTGTGATCATGAGATTAATATCAATGTCAAGTACAACATGTTTTATTTTGGGGTACAGTAATTCCATGCATTCTAACACTGGTCTAATATTAGAACAAAAACATATTGCTGTATGTTCAGCTCTCTTTCCAGGAGCTCAGGAGCCTGCAATCCCGCAGGAGAAGAGGAAGACTGCTGCTGGGGAAATGGAGTAACATGCAGCCACTTGCCCCAGAACTTTTACTCCTTCAAATTAAAGAGGTTCAACATGTTTTAATTGATTCCAAATTTGTTTAGTTGACCCAAAACGCTAGAACTGAAATTGACTTTATTAAAAGTACTTGGGATCTGCAGAAACTGCATAATGAACGTACTTGGCATAGGCTTTTTCCACCAGGGCGCTCCAGAACTCATTGCCTTCCGCAGAGTGGACAAAGAGCAGCTCCCCATCTTTCACCGGGAGCCTGTCATCAACCACGATGTCCACCCACTCCCCGAACTGCCAGAACTGCAAGCCAGGTACAGAAGTGCTCTTCAGTCTTTGCGCCAAGGGGAGAATTCATTCATTCTGTATCTAGGTTTCCCAAGAGAAAGATTTCCGCCATGTTCACGACACAGCAAATGTAAAGAATAGGATCTGCCAAGATAAATCTGGGCCCTGTAGAATTAAGTCTAACCAAGCAAAGATGGATTTCAAACATCTTTTCACTGCTTTCTCTTTAGGCTTGGCTTGCTGGTAAAGAAAACAGAATATAAGAAAGGTTATAAATGAGGTGTATTCAGTCTCTCCCAGATCTTCATCTTCAGACCACAGTTTGTGAATGTGCTGTGGCTCAGCAGACTTAGTAGAAGATGTGTACATCTCTGTATATTATTTAAACAGTTTGAGTAATGACTGTGATTGTCTTTTTCATTGTTCACATCCTCATACAATTTAATATTAATAATAATTAATAATAATTCCTTACAAAAAATAGCACTTTTCTGGACACTCAAAGCTCTTTACAGGTAATGGGGATCCCCTGCACCACCACCAGTGTGCAGCCCCACCTGGATGATGCGACGGCAGCCACAGTGCGCCAGAACGCTCACCACATACCAGCTCTCAGTGTGGAGGAGAGCAGAGGGATGAAGCCAATTCATAGATGGGGATTATTAGGAGGCCATGATTGGTAAGGGCCAATGGGAAATTTGGCCAGGACGCCAGGGTAATATCCACACTCTTCTCGAGAAATGCTCTGGGATTTTTAATGACCACTGAGAGCCAGGACCTCGGTTTTACGGCTCATCCGAAGGACGGCGCCTGTTTACAGTATAGTGTCTCCGTCACTATACTGGGGGCATGAGGACACATTCAGACTGCAGACTGAGCACCCCCTACTGGTCCCACTAACTGGTCCCACTCTTCCAGCAGCAACCTTAGTTTTCCCAGGAGGTCTCCTATCCAGGTACTGGCCAGGTTCACACCTGCTTAGCTAGTGTGCCAGTCATGAGTTTCATGATGATAGGTGTATTAGAATATAGACTTTCTGTGTGCACAGGCTCAACTGTGACACAGAGCCCAGTGTCTGCCTGTAATCACCTGCAGATTCTACAGAAATACTCTTGTTTCCACTACATACAGGCACTTTGAAAATATAGAGGTTTGAGAAGGCCTTATCTTCAGCTACAGCTACATTTACAAGTCACATCAGCAACTGGTAGACTTTAGCAATGACCCTGCAATGCATATATACAGCAACTTCATGACATTCAATGTGTGTTTGATCCAAGAGAGACAACCCTGTGAGACAGATTAAAACTGCCAGGTTAACAACAATGTGAAGCAGCTGTTTGGACACACTGCTGGAACAGCTGGAGCTACAAAGGTACACAGCTATGTTTTCTGGAACCCCTGCTTGAAACTTATGAGACCCTGAGCAGGAACTCATTCAGCTCCCTCCACCTGGAAATGGAAAATCCCTGCATAGTCCTCTTGGAAGCTCTGGCCGTGTGGGACCACTCTGTGCAGCAGCTTCTCATTGAGGGTGAGAGAGGCAATGGCAGCCAGGAGCCAGCAGTCACCTGGGGAAAGAGAAGCACAGACATTCAGCTCACAGCACATACCGACCACAGGGGACACACGCTGAAACACTGGGACACACACTGACCATAGGGACACACACTGAAACACCGGGACACACACCGACTGCAAAGAATAAGAAAGCAGGACAAAGCAGAAAAACAGTTACCAAGAAAACCGTCAAGCAACATCTTTTCAGTCCTACGATGCAGAGTGTATGAATTCCTACCCCACAACTCTTGCACACTGCTCAGATTGTAACTGAAATGTGAATTGAAGTTTCAGAATTAAAGGATTTAACCTTGTGTGACGAAACCAGAACACTGTCACTCAGGAGATGGGAGGGGAACAAGATGATTCACAACTAAGAGTCAAAGGGATGAATTGGAATCATGTGCCCAGAGATTCCCGAAAGTGATACTTGAGCCAGTGCATACCACTTACAGCAGGCCACACCCAAGCTGCTGTTTTAAAAGGCGACCTGTAAAAAGGTCCATAAACCAGCAATTCTGTATTCATTTTACATTACTGTGGCCTTGGATCAAAGACAGAAATACCTAACAAAAGTAAAACCACTTTCTTGAATAAGATAAACCACTTCGGAAGCATGTAATATAAACAGCTTTTTTCCCCACATTCCCACAGTTCATCATGATCCTCAGATGTTAGGAGCATTCCTCTCAGGCCTGGAGAACAATGTGATATGCCAACAGCTGCAGACAATGAACCCTTTCAGAGCTTCTCCTGCATTGAGTCTTTTTAAAACCAGCCACTTCATCAGTGCAGGCACTAAGCAAGCCACAATTCCCACCCCATCCCCCAGTACTGGAACTCTCTCAACTAAAGATAACTTCAGAACATGAACTGAGCACAGCAGCCATTCCTTTACTAGGGTCCTAGCTGGTACCTCTGGGCTTGTATCTCTGAAATTTCAAAAGAGTTTGGCAGACTGTGTCATTGGGGTGGTGTCCTGGGGCAATCACTACATACCGTACATGCCACTGACAACAGCCTGAACAGAAAATGGCATGGCTCTCTGTAATAAATTTATATTAATTAATCACCATATTTCATTATGTCTAAGTCACTAATTCTCAAATTAGTTAGCAGAGGGCCGTCTTCAAAAATGTCATAAAGACCCACAAAGCTACATAACAATAGGACTGAATTCAACAGCTATTAAGAACAAAACAACATATTGCATCTTAGGACATCAACCAACACTTCAAGAACTTAGTTTATGAGAAAAGGCTGGTTTAGGAAGGCCAATACTGGCAATGTTCTTCTTTGGTGAAAACATTCTGAGGAGCTAACAAGGTTAAGCTGGCATGTGTCTCTGCTCTGGAGAATCTGCCAATGCAGGGGAGGCAGCATGAGGGAGCTGCCAGATGAAACTGTGCCAGAACACTTAATCAGAAGCAAGTCTTGGCCATGCGAGCACAACACCGGACGACCACGCATGTCACAGAGAAAGCAGCTGAGTAGAGAGCAGAGTGTGCGTTCCTTGCTCCTCCCTTCCAGCAGCATATCCTGCTCTCCTCTGAAGGAATCCCCAGTGCACACAGAACTCCCAGCTCAGTAAAGATGCATTCTTTTGTGTGTTGGTAAGACTAAGAAATTTCAGAGTCATGAATCACAGTTCACTGCAGGGTAATGTGCCATAGATAATATCCAAATGTAGTAATCATGTCAGTAGTTATGACCTTAAAGGAATATTAAAAATAAGGCATCCAAGTTACTGAGACTCTATTACCTTGTTTAAGTAAAGTTTTGTTTCATACTGACAATGACTTTTCGATCTGCGATGCTAAACATCTGGAGCCACAGATTCCTGGTGGGTTTCCACTCTCAGCTGAAAGCCCTTCCTGTCTGGCACAATGTACCCATCCTCGCCTTTTCACCTGACTCCTCTGAACACTGGATAAAAGTCTGGGTGAGATTCAAGCCCTGGTGTTCATGTAAGCAAAATGGGGTGCAGCAGTTCCAGGGTCTGAACTGTAGAAATTGCAGGCTTTCTATTGTAAACTTTATATCCTGTGGCCACAGCTCTGACTGAAGTATTTGTTAAATGTCCTGGTTCATGCAACAGGTATGACTGTCTCTTTTGGCAATATCTGTACCAATAAACTTCTGCTGTTCTGCTGTTCAGAGGAGACAGAACTCACCCAAGGCTCCCTGGCAGATATCGGTCCTTGTAGCACCTCCAACAATGAACTGAGGATTCGCTGTCAGCTCCTGCAGAAAACACTGAAGTTCAGATACCGTTGTGTACAGATTTAATACAACTAATGTTTGAAAGACTGTCAGTTAGTACTGAAATAAAAAACACTGGTCATATAACGAAATACACTGTGATCATTCAGGCTCTTCAGAGCCTGTGTCAGACAATGAAATCACAGCCAAATATCAACAAAAACAGAGAGGATATTTAATGTCCTTTGTCCCTCAGCTCCTTACAAAATCTACACAAAGGTGAATTAACTATGGTGTTTTAATCAAAGAAACAAATGAAGACTTTTGCTAATTGAGGAACTGTTCCAACAGAACAGAGAAAATGTTACAAAACCCATTTGTTTAATTGTTTAAAATAAGTTCAAGAGGATAATTAAATCTGCTGCTCCCTTATATATGCTGGTGATTAATAATTAACCATCACAGCCATAAAGAGTCAGATAAAGGGCAATAAACTTCCTTTTCAAAGAAACAATATAAAATAACCACCATTGTCAAACCTGGGTCTGATTTTCTGTAAGATTTGCTTCCTGGGTTTTACTTATTTTTATTATACATTCTTTGCAAAGGACTATCTGGGCGTGAGTTTCTATTCCTTCCCATGCGTCCCATGCCGAGGTCCAGAACAACCCCCTCACAGTACTGGCTCTCCACTAGAGAGCAACTCGGCAACAGGAACTACTCCCAACAAATCTGCAACTCAGAATAACTCAGAAAAGCAACCAAGAGCAACTCCAAATTCAACAGCAGCTCGGTACTGCTCACAGCCGCCCAGGCCTGGAGCCAGAGCCACTCTCCCTGTCCTCACTGATCCCCACAGCCCAGGAAGGAAGGGCAGGGGAGGCTGATTGTATCACAATTCAGGGAATTTGCACTGGTGACAAGAACAGCCTCTTTTTCCAAGTGGGAACTTTAAAGAACATTTCTACAGTTCTTAACATGCATGTCTACATCAGCTTCCTGCACAGAAAACTAGGTGTACAGCACCACAAAATTCAACGTGCATCACCACTCAGGCACGAGGTTTGTGCGTATAAAAACAAAACTACTGCTTGAAATTGATAATGTCACCTCTGTGTCCCCTGTGCCACAGAAGAAATGTACAGTGGGTTAAATCATGCCCAAAGCAGTCACAAAAGAATAAAACATGCCATTCTGCAATGAGACTGCACCCAAAACATTACTTGCCTCCTGCTGAAAGAGAGGAAACCCCTGAATATTTATTATAGCAGAATGCGCAGTGCTGAACTCCAACACTCTTCCTGTTCATCAGAAAGTGTTGTGTGCTTTTAGAAGGGCTGTGAGATGGATGAGCAGAGACAGCTTACTGCCCTCTAACAGGCCTCAACTGTGTCAGCATTCCTCATCAGACACCTCTGAGCTTCAGTGCATCTTTTCTGATGACTCGTACAAGTGTGTGGAACAATGGGAAGCCAGTAAGGAATTCTTTATGACATGTAAAAATATTAGGAACACGTAGTTCTTAATTTCAGTAAAACATAAAAACTCTGACTATAAATTAGACTCAAAACCTGTAGTCTGAGGTTTTATCCTTAGGGTAAATTGATAAGGTTTTTAACTCTAAATCATTTTAGGTATGTGTAGCATTTTGTTTCTCTAGAAAGGAACAATGTTTCTGTGACTCTGTGACATATCCCCTTAAAGAGATCGAGGGCACTCAACTTAAAGTGGCCGTATGCCTCTTTGAATGCCACAGTAAATGGCACTAAAATTAAGGTTTAATAATCCAGGAAATATATCCTGTCTCCAGTCAGTGCACTTGAAATACAAACACTACTGGAGCAGCTCATGTGTGCATTAAAACAGCTGACACTCCATGGCGCCAGTTTACCTCCCACGCCACAGTGGCTGTCCAGCAATACTGACCGCAGCGTGCTCCTTTTCCCAGTGGCAACCTGGGGCCTGTCATCTTGTCTACTACAGAACAACTTCCTGCTTCAAAGTTCCGTGTTCCGCACTATAACACAACCTCACAGCACAAGACACATCTTCCATACAACAGCTCTGCTCAAATCTGTAGATTTGGTAACACTCAGCAAAGAAGATGAGCAGAGGCAGCTGTTCCAAACTGTTTTGTCTGAGTTGCCATGAGGGACGAGCATGGAGACGTCAGGTCTCTTACCGTGGGGCGCATCCACTCAACACCCCGAGTTTTGGAGGAGTGGGGTGCCAGCTCCTTGAACCCCAGTGAAGGGGGTTCAGCAGGGAATAGGGGGTCCTCAAACAGGCAGCCACTCTCGATGCATTCCTGCTTCAGGGCGTCGTAGTCCTGGTTCTGGAATTTTAGAGCCCTGTCGTTGGATCCCATCCCTTCAGCCTTCAGCCTGTCCTTCTGTATGCGAGCAGAGATCCCTCCAAACAGAAACATGCTGAGAGGGATAAAAATAAAAAGGGGAGTTTACCAGCAGCCAGAATATAAATAGCTTCCATCTCCACCATGACATATTCTGCAGTAAAACCTGACACACAGGATGGGACCACGACTGCACCCAGCAGGATAGAACATTATTTCTGCTGGGTTCTGTTCTGGAACTCCACTGTTTAAAACTCTGAAGGCAGAGAGTAACTATGGGACAACACTGGCCCAGCCCATTCCTGACCCTTCCCTGAGCTGCAGTCCCAGAACCCCAGCAGCTGGCTGCCCACTTTATTTTGCCACGGCAAGCGTGTTTGGTCAGCAGCATCAGGTCTTTAAAATACAGCAATGATATTTAATCCGTCTGTCTTGGTTGCTTTACTTCATTGTTTGCCAACGCTGCTTCTTAATTAAGACAAGAGAAAAAAAAGAGCGAAGTTGCCACTCAGCTGCTAGACTGTCTCAGCTAGATAGAATCTTGAGTGTTTGTTATATTATGGACAGAGAGAGGGGACCTGCAGTTCTTTTCCTGCCTTGTCAGTGTAACTGGTCTGTCAGGCTCCCTGCAATTTCAATGAACTTCAGAGTAGTTTGTACTTTCCCTCTCTGTGAAACATCCACCATCACCATCAAGAACGTCCCCCAGAAATCAATCAGACACTGTACAGCAACAGCAGAGCAGCAGTCTCCTTTATGATATATAGCAAAACACTGCAAATGATTGTGACAGTAACCTGGGCTGTAATTGAGAACATTTCTGACTGATCAAACATAAAGTGGACAAAAGAGATTAAGACGTGTTCAGAGCATCATGTTTTTCTGAGTAAAGTGTTTAGCTTCAGGTTAATTGTGTTAAGTTTAAAATGCATTAGGCCTGTTCTGCTAATTAATAGTTCAAAAGCCATATTGTTTAACAGGTATTTAAGGTGCAAAGCCTTCTATCAAACTCTAGGGCAATTTTAGTTATCTAACATCAGATCTGTCTCTGGCAGCAGATAAAAGGAGTGGTCTCCTTGTCTGTGACCTTTGACCCCTCCCAGCAAGGTCAAAGAGCCAAAACAAACTCTTTTACTTTACAGACAAATTAACTATTGCTGGTTCCTTTTCACTGTAATAATAATGTGCAGTTAGTTTCCGATGCAATCAAGACAATGAATAAGCAAAATTAATGATTAAACCAATATTGTAGCCAGTAAGACACGAGGGTTCCCACAGTACCTTCCAAGGCCAGTTTTCCCAAACTTTTCCCTGGACAGTTTTAACAATTTTCAACAATGTAAAGTTGCCACTGAAAGCCAGCAGATCTAAAGACTTTGAGCAGCAGAGCATCACAGACAGTAAACCACTGTTTTTTAACTGCTTCTCCTGTTATGCTGTTCTTTGTGCTCCAGCTGATGTTGGCAGTTATCCAGGTCTTTCAGGGCAAGTGGGAACCCTGCAGTGTTCAGGGAAAGGAAAAGGCCGTCAAGAGCTTGAATTTGCAACACTAATGGGACAAGAGAAATGTGGGGATACACACAGTTTGAAAGAGAAAGCTGTACCTCAGTGGCTTTTGTGTTGAGAGCTTCCCTGTCAGCTCGCTATACTGAAATATCCTTATACAGTCTCTTTAAAAGCATGAGTGATTCCAGAGACCCAAATCGTCTTTTACTCTGCAGAGAATAAGAGCTATTCTGGATATGTTAATCCACAGATCTACTGTGTCTCTGAGTCATGCTTTCTGATATCCCATACAAATAAGTACATACTTTGCAGTCTACTACTTATTTGCAGTACTTATTCGTACATGACACACAGTTTTTAAATCAAACTATGTATTAGTGGTAAATGGAAAGGTAAGGTGTAAGAATTATTGTAAAAATAGCAATGTTGCAGCTGATGCTTAGCAGAATAACTTTTTCTCTTAATTCACTCTTAGTGGGATCCTGTGGAACAGCTGTCTTACGTAGTGTTGTGGATGTGGATGCAAAACAGAAAAAAAAAGGTAAAAAAGGGAATATTTTTGGAATGGAAAAGGACTCGCTCTGAGAGGCACTAAAACATAGACAAAGAAAGAAGCAAGCCACAGCAAGAAACATGAATCTGTTACCTTCAAATTTTCTCTGGGCCACAGCAGGCTTGAAGAAAGAAAACTTCATTTGTAATTTGCAGATATTTATAAGCTACTAATATACAGTGCTTATGACTCCATACTGTATATCTGCAGCTAATCAGTGTATTGTCTATGTAGAATAAACACGTACAGTTCTTTTATAGCTTAGGCTGCTAGAATTCCTCCTAACACAGCTGTCAGAGAAGCATTCAAATATTTACACAACGCGAGAAGGAATTTCTAGCATCTCCGGTTACCCCCAGTGAAGGTCTCAGTGTTTAGTGCCACACTGAGCAGAAATCCAGCTGTGTCACATTCCAGCAGTGCCACAGAGTCACTCAGATCCTGCAGGTCAGATCTGAACAAACTGCATGGTTTTATTTTATTGTTAAAAATGGTAAACCTTTATAAAGCATTTTAGTCACCAGAATGCCTATCTTTAAATTCTAAAAACAGCAGCTTGAAGCTTTAAGAATTTAAATGCGAGGACTCCAGAGGGGTTCATCCAGCCAGAACTGCCACTGGGACTGCAGGCTGCATTTGAGCTGCTGGTCTAACTTTCCCACTGGCACACCGACAGACCTCACACAGCCAGTCAAGTACCTCGGGCGCTGGAAGGGCTGAATTTGGCAAACTGGGATGTACTCGGAACTGAGGCCCTGTGGAACAGGAGTTCCACTGAAACTTGGAGAAGGAGGGAGCTGCAGACCGGTCACACTGCACGTGGTGAAGTCAGTACTAATCAATGTGACACCCACCTGCTATGAGTACACTCTCGCTCACTGAGCAACAGCAACTGAATCAAAAGACCAGCTGTTGGTATATTTATAGGTATAGAGGACCTTAGTCCCTCACAGACACCCAGCCCATGACTGGCTTAATCTTATCTTTGCTCTTTTGGGGTCCATTTTCCTATTTACCAAATACATTTCTTCACATAACTTGAAGATAAGTTATGTCAGATTTTAGACCCTCTGAGACTTCCAGGCTAGGAGATCAAAATAGTTCAGTCCTGAACAGAGAACACTGCTTGACTCCTATTTAAAATCCTCAATAGCACTGAGAAAGTCGACCCCTGGACATCTGCAGAATGAGCAATGAAACATGATCCAGACACAAGTGGAAACGTTGGGAAGAGCATTTAATACTGATACCATGAAGAGTTCTTCACACAAAGGGCTTGTGCTCACGTGTACCTTTATCATGCTCACATGCTGCTGCACATCCTGCTCTTGTGCTGTGAAAACCCTGTTCAGTTCCCAGTAGGAGAACATTTACTGAGTTCTTCTTAGTAAATCTTAGAAAGTAAAACATTAGTAGATCTTTTAAAAAGTTTGAATATTTCTTATCTTCATCATGTGCTACTGAAGACAACAGAACTATACGTGTGCTCATAGCACATCACGTCCTTGAGCAGAAACACACAGTGGGCAGCTGCTACCCAGAGCCCTGCAGCACAGTCACCAGGGCTGTTGGATCTCTAACTATTTGACAGGTATTTTGGTATCTGGTCTTGCAATGTAACTATATTTTCAGATCATCGATATTCAGCCATTACAAAGTGATAAACACTTCAGAAAAACTGGGAATCCTGTGACATGAAATGCCTGTCTACTAAAACATTACCTGAGTTTCTGCTTTTACAATTTTCTGCAAAACACTGTGAGCCATTAGGATGATGCAGCAATTACCCATAACCTGCTGATGAATTACATTTTATTCTCGTTTTAAATCAATATGGTTTCAGCAGCTACAGGCACTTCTGCCTCCCTCGAGGAAAGCTAATAAGACTTGGCATGTCTTTCCCAAGACCTGCCAGGTGCCACTGCACTGTGCAGGAATGCTGAAAGTGTTTTTCCGCAGGTGAAGCATGATGTCAGGCTGCCAGCAGCTACTGTACGAGCAGCAGCCCAGTGAGCCCAGAGAGCCCAGGGTAACCCAAGCCCCCCTCTCTCCTTCTCACTCAGCCACTGACAGAGACCAGACATCTAAATGCCAGCCTTCACAAACTGCCTGGAACAGTCTCTGCAGTACTGTGCGAGCGACACAGTCAGGAATTTGAGTCAAAAACATTAGATTTGTAAAAACATTTAGTCAAAACTCCAGCAAAGGAGTCTGTTTCACCTTGATGTCGAATTACATTATTTTAGTTAATTGGTCCACTCTTTTGAGGAAAACACCATTACCAGTTAAACAAAAAGATGTTGGTTCCTCACCTCGAACACCAGGAGGGGGCTGCGCTCCCGGAAACTGGCAGATTTATCAGCACCAATATACAGTATACTGATGGAAAAAAGAAACGCAACATTTTCTTGAATGAGAATACTATAGTGATAGCTTATGTACTTTCACAAAAAGTTGTCAATTTGTTTAAGCCCTCTGACTAGCAATACAGCTGGTGCAGTGAGGCATTGCAACTTGCCAATCACACGAAAGCTCGTTTGGTGCACTTTTACCCAATGCGGTCCAGGTGGAACAATGCTTGATCAGGTCACCTTTAAAAAGGCCTTAATTCAAAGCTTAGGTCACTGCAAGAAAAAGGCCACACACAGTCAGTTTTCTGTGCATTCCATAATGCCTCGAATGTCACCAGAAGCAAGAGAGAAGGCCACTGGCATGCTGCAGGCAGGCATGTCATGTGCCAGCGTTGCCAGACACTAGGGAGTAAACCACTCCACTGTGTTCCGACTGCAGAGAAGGTTTCAGCAGACCATCTGAGAAATTGTTTCAGATCTGCCACCCGTACTGCTGCTGAAACTGCCGGCAGACACAATGCCTACATCAGTGACAGGACTGCGACATGTCAGAGGCCCTCTGCTCATACCTCCTATATGTCACACCCGACTGGCTTGGGCCAGACAGAGGCTGTGATGGACTCATCGGCAGCAGCATCAGGTCCACGGATGAGTCACTCTTCAGCCTGTTCCGAGCAGACAGGAGGGCCAGAGTATGTAGGTTTTTATTTTCCATCAGTATATATTAATTTACTCCTTAGAGAAATTAAAAAATATGATTAGCACAGCTCTGCTACAGGAAAATGAAAGCACCAAAAATGATTGTCTTCCTTTCTATACAAAATGTCTAAGAAAAACCATTAGTATAATTTACTCTGTAGAACAGTATGACCATAAATCTTTCATTAGCATCATAAATTATGTATCTGTGCAAGCTAGCAAAGATTTAACATAGGAGCTTAAGAAAGGTTACAAACAAAACAAGGCCATTCAGTGGATTTGGTAGTTAGTAGCTTATTGATCCAATGATCTCATTTAGTTGTATCCTGAAAGATGCCAGGGTACCAGCTTCAACAACATGGCTTAGTGGCTCAGTGCAGACTCCTACACCCTTTTGTCTAAATCAATGCCTCTTGTTTCCAAATTTAAATGTCCTTCCTCTGAGTTAACATTTGTGTTTACAGGTTCATGCTTATCTGCCGACTCTGAAGAGCTTTGTCAGGGCCAACAACACCTGCCAGTACCAAAACAGCCTGATGAGCTGTGGTGAATCCTCTGACAGAGGGACCACAATCTATTACAGCATGTCACTGCTCTTCGTAGCCAGTTCACCTAATTTCAGAACAGCAACTCAGAACTACACAACTGAAACAGAATTCCGTTCCATACGATGAAAAAATAAACGTGAATGTTAATCTTACTGTACACACTAAGATAGTTCTATTTAATTAACTGGCTTATGGAGAATCTGCACTAAAATGCTGGCACTCAGCTCTTTCCAATGAGCTGCATAAGTGACAGAACTGAAGGTTTGTGTTTTATCACCTGTCTCCCACATGAACGGGCCCGATTGCCTCGCACAGGGATGTGGGCCTTGAAACGAGACAGGTCTGAATCGCCTGTGGTCTCATTGCAAGAACCATGTAATGCTAATCCTTCTAATTTAATTAGTATACATAACTAAAATGTGTCCAATAATATTGTTTTATCCTACAATACTGTTTTACCAATGAATTTTAATGTGTACCACCCATGACTGCATGTTGATGTTTCTATTCCATGGAGTGAGGGACAGCGGTTAGAGATTTAAGTAAACATTCCTGTTTTAGAAAAGGTAGGATTTAAATATGATGGGTCTCTCTGTCATTTGTGTTTTCATTTTGTGTTTTCTCTCTCTCATTTGTGTTTATACAACTTATGTAGTTACGATCTATTCATTCTGATTCCTCAGACATCCTTTCCTAAGAAAACTAAGTCATTTAACAGCAATAAAGTCAAAATGCTGATTATGACTTGTGTACAGTAAGTCGTATAGTTTTTTTCAGGGATTTTAAAATGTCCTGAGTAGGAAAAAAACTCAAGGAAACAGGGTCTGGAGGATCTAAGGTCCCCTATAAGTGTTTATTTTTACTTAAAATGCAGATCCGAATTTTATAAAGCAACCAGTGCATGAGGGCGGAATCCAAACATATAGCAGCGGAAAGCTCATCTAATTGCATCCCATTAGTCGCTCTGCGCAAAGCGGCTTCATCTCGGCAATCAGCTTTACCGAGCAAAACCACAAGCGCATGCGTCGGTCAATAAAACGGTTTTCGCTTAGCTGTCGTCTGGAGGAAAAATAATTTTAATTCATGGTAATTTATACGAATAGTATTCTCATGGCAACGACGTTGTGTATTGTTTAAAAATAAGACTGTAAAGTTAAAAGAAATCGGCACAAACTAAAATTAATCCTATCTTTCCCTTTCCCCAAGGCTAGTCATAAAGAAGTCTGCAAAGCGGTTTGTTCTGAGTGGAAAGAAGTCACAACAATAAAAAAGACAAAGGCCGTACAGATTAATATCTGAACCAACGGGGGCGCTGCTTTCCCCAGCAGACCTGGTTCTGGCAGAGGCACAGCACGATTTCTCCCAGGTCAAATGCAGTTGAGCTTCTTCCCGCAGTGACTCGGATTCATCATGGCTTCGTTTGTTCAAAGCTGACGTAAGGGCACTGAGACTCGTTTAGCTTTGGCTTTTCGGGGTCATGCATAAGCACGGCAATATTTTCCACGTGTTTGTGAGCAGTGTTTTATATTTACATGCCTCTGTTCCGCAACACTGTCCAAATCGAAAGACGATCAGCGCACAGAGCGCGGACAGGCTGCCTGGACAATCTGTGCGCTGCCCGGTGGGACTGGAGCTCCGGCTCTCCCACCCTGTCAACGGGGCTTTCTGCCGACTGCGGAGCAGAGCCCTCCAATAAACATCACACCGTCTCTGTATACTGTCGGAACTTGTCTTAAATTAACTGAAAAATAACCCACATGCTTTTTATGGTTTTCAAACAAGACATTTTGTTCTAAAGCTTCCGACTGCCTAGTCAATAAAGATCTTCTAAAGAAATCAAAGTGGGAGGTCTTACGAATAACATTTTGAACATTTAATAAAACACAAGCCTACCAGCACATAATCATAAATCTGGTACACAGTTTAACTGTATGTGCATTTCAGTCAACATCAGAAAGTAAAGGATCAGAGCAAAACAGCGTACCTAAACCTGCAGACTACTCATCCTAACCACAGCAGCCCGCAGCAGGCGTACCTGTCCGCGGCTGCCGGGCTGAGACACTCACCACTGCGGAGCACCGTCTTCACCTGCGCTCGGGTGTTCGGCTGACAGGCACCGGCACACTTGCGCACTCAGAGCGGCGCTGCTGCAGTGTGGAGCCCAGCCCTGCCCAGCTGACGGGGGGAGGGGAGAGGAGCCGGCGCCGAGACCCCTGAACACAGATTGTTGGCTGGGGTGCCCGCAGAGCTCTGACCCAGCCTCCCGTCCTGCACGAGGCAGCGTGAGCGCTGATATTTGATGTGCCACTGTGGACACACTGCCGATACCCTCGTCTAAGTGTCTTCCCAAGACCTAGACGTAGGTATTCTATTACGACACACTGGGCAGTTATGTACAGTGTTTTAGTTTTGTTTGAGGAACAGGGTCAGCGCACGTCAGCTGTACCTTGACAACATAATAGTCCAATGACAGCCAACATATTAATAATAATAATACAAGTTTCTTAATTAAAATAAACACAAATGAACACAAGCCATTCAAATGCAGAAGAAGATGAAAGGAACAGATACAGGAATGAATTAAATAAAGCCTTTTTGAAAAGAAGGTTTTGAGTCTGGATTTGAAAGCAAGGCAAGGTGTCTCCCTGATATCCTTGGGGACAGAATTCCAGAGCTCTGGGGCGCAGCAGGAGAAGCTCCAGTCACCCATTGAATGTAGACAAGATTGGGAGACAGACAGGAGAGCAGAGTCAGAAAAATGAAGGTTGTGAGGTGGGGAGTAGGGTGATAGCTTACAAGGGAAAAGTAATAGGTTTATTCCATGCTGAAAATAGAAGAACGAAAACACATTTCGGCTGTGGACAGGTACTGAAGCCATGTTAAGCCTTATAATAATAATAATAATTAATGATTACTTGCACATATATATAGCGCTTTTCTGGACACTCCACTCAAAGCGCTTTACAGGTAATGGGGACCCCCCTCCACCACCACCAATGTGCAGCCCCACCTGGATGATGCGACAGCAGCCATAGTGCGCCAGAACGTTCACCACACATCAGCTATCAGTGGGGAGAAGAGCAGAGTAATGAAGGCAATTCATAGATGGGGATTATTAGGAGGCCATGCTTGGTAAGGGCCAATGAGAAATTTGTCCAGGACGCTGGGGTTACACCCCTACTCTTTTCGGAAACACCCTGGGATTTTTAATAACCACAGAGAGTCAGGACCTTGGTTTTACGTCTCATCCGAAGGACAGCGCCTGTTTACAGTATAGTGTCCCCGTCACTATATTGAGGTATTAGGAGCTACATGGACTGCAGGGTGAGCACCCCTTGCTGGCCCCACTAACACCTCTTCCAGCAGCAACCTTAGTTTTTCCAAGGAGGTCTCACATCCAGGTACTGACCAGGTTTACACCTGCTTAGCTTCAGTGGGTTGCCAGTTGTGAGTTGCAGAGTGATATGGCTGCTGGCATAATATATAGGTGAGCATGAGGATTTTGAATTTCACAATAAGTCAGTGCAAGGACTCCAGGACAGGAGTAACGTGATCACTTGCACACGATAACTGGTCAGAATTCTGGCTGCTGAGTTCTGGACAAACTGAACTTAGTTCAGAATGGATTTAGGTACCCCAGCGAGTAGGGTCTTACATTAATCAGTTCTAGAGAAGACAAATATTACTGTTCTATCATCTGGCCACCAGAGGGCACCCCAACCTCCATCACCTGCTCGACTGCGCAGCCGAGGTGCAGACCAAGCAGATGTCTGTAGCCAGATGTCTGTAGCTCACCATGCCTCCCCTCCTCCAGCCTACATAAACCCTGCGCAAGGTTCAAAAAGTGCTCAATATTGTTGCCACTACTCTGAGTGCTAGTCTGAGACTTTGGTACATTGTTCCCTTGTTCCTGATTTTGTCTCCTACTCCTGTTTACGTCCCTGTTCCTTGTTCACCTTATCATTGTTCCTGAGTTTTGTCTGTAGCTTTCTGGATTGGTTTTCCTCAGTTTGGTGTTTTTTCGGCCCCTGATCTTTTGTTTTCCCCCTGGACTGCTTACCTGGGTTTTTGATTTTGGCCTGTCCCTTGATTCTGAGTTTTTGGATCGTGTTCCTGGACCTTGACACTCATGTATCTCCTTCTGGTTCTGGACTCCCTGCTCACCTTTTGAGTCTGGCCTTGGATTACCCTCATACATTGTTTTGGTTCTTTGTGACCTTGTAACCCGCAAAGGGTCTATTCCCTGTTTTCTGATCTGTGGACCAGCCTAACTACAAAAGTGTTGATCAGCTTTTTTGCTACAGTCAGAGACAATATAGAATGCGGTCTGGCAATATTCCTGAAATGGAAGAATTATGTTTTTACAATATTTTTCATATACTGGTCAAACATCAAGCCTGGATCGAATATCACCCCAAGTTCTTGAATTTAGATTGAAATTCAACTACAGCGCCATCCACAAATAGGGTAACTGCATTGGCTTTACAAAGCTGATTGGAGGTTCCAAGAAGCAGATTATTAATAAGATTCTCTACTGTGATTCTCCACCTGAACCTTTAAATTTATTCACTTTTCTCCCCGCTTTCTCCTGCACACTGCTGACAGCAACTTTCTGACGTCACACAGGTGTGTCCTATCAGAGGACAGGCCAAGACGTGTCCAAGACGTGTATTATCAGGCTCAAGGTCAGACTGTCACACTTTCTCCCACAGACAGAGAGTGAACTGCTTAGTTACACGTTACTGCCGTGCAGAACACTGTCATACTAAATGGCATCTTAACTTTTAAAAGGAGGAAGATTCACATTAAGTACTGTTAGCAGTAAATATTTATCAGTCTGCAACAGTGATTAAGACTTTAGAATATTTCCCTGAAATTCTGTACCCTCACAGTAAAGACAGTGGTCTCCTACCTTTAACTGCAATGTGCCTCTCTGTCCCTCAGAGTTCTCTCTCCATCAGACTGGACAAGCAGACCTGATGTCCAGTGCTCTCTGATCTCTGCAGTGCCCTCAGTTCAAGGGTCTGTCCTTCTCCACGGGCAGCACCAGACTAACAGAACAGTCACCACAGAAAACAGGTCTGAGTTTTTACACACCAGGGAAAACAGACTCCTGATACCAACCACATGCAAGTGTTTAGGTCTAATAGTAACTGTGTTCTTCTTGATACTAATATCACTAATATAATATCAGTATTTGTTTCTTCCTGATGCTGTCTGTGGCATATTAAAGAGGTGGGGAGTAATTGCATATTTCTGAAAGAAAGTGTGAGAAACACAGCCACACAGGGAATACTTTGGCATAGTCTCATTACTTTTATATTTCAACCATATATGTCTTTTAAAATTAGCAGTGGGTTCCCTGGCTCCTGTGAAGGTTACATTTTGCAGATTAAAATCATCAAAGAACCTTTCATACATTTTTATTTTATACTATTCCTTCACTTTTTTCCCTACTGTCAGATACCAACTGTGAATAAGAGCATAAAAAAGGATAAGCTACATTTAACATTTAACACCCTAACAAGCTCTGTTGTAATTAATTGGAGCTATTTAATAATGCCACACTCCACACCCTACTGTCCTGTCACCGGAAGTAATTGTTTCAAGAAATTTAAATGGATTATAAATCAAAACATGCATGTGTGGAGTTGCCTTAGGGCATTCAGCTCTACAAAGATTATATGTAAGGCAACTGTTTACACTGAGTAAAGTTATGAATAACAGCCTGAGCATATGGCAGATTTCGAACAACCATCAGGTCCATATTATAATCAAGTTGTTTTTTTCACCATGAAATTGAAAGTTTTCTGAAGATACCTTGGTTACACAGAAGCCAAAGGCAGGAGCAGGACCCAGCAGGAGCAGATCCCAGCAGGACCGTTGTCAATTCTCAAGCCGGGCCCATCTGCCACTGGCAAATGACCTTACTCGAAAGCGCAGTACCTGCTGGCGGCTCTCCGAGCAGGAATGAGGAAGGTGCCTCTGGGATGGAACAACTGCTTTAATCCAGAACCACAGCTGCACTGGTCACAGTTTAGAGCTTCAAAGGGTAGGTGTGGTGGATGGCAGGTAACAGAAAACGTATGCAGAGCTCTAGCACTACAATAAAAAATACATATCAATGTGACTGCATCTGTCTTTCAAATGCTGAATATATCTTTACATTTAACATGAAGATAGTTAAAAATAAAACCTGGTGTTCCTTCAGAAGGGCCAGAATTGTATGGTTACCAGTGTTCAGAAGCATTAATGAAGAATGAAGAATCCACTGTTTAACTCTTATGGCTTCCAAGGTGAGAGATCCTGCACA